CAATATAATTCTCTGTTAAATATTACTTCTTCAAATTACCAGGCAGTAAGTATATAAAATAATGTACACATTTTATCCTCAATATAATTCTCTGTTAAAAATTACTTTTTCAAATTACCAGGCAGTAAGTATATAAAATAATGTACACATTTTATCCTCAATATAATTCTCTGTGAAATATTACTTCTTCAAATTACCAGTTTGTAAGTATATAAAATAACGTACACATTTTATCGTCAATATAATTCTCTGTTAAATATTTACTTCTTCAAATTACCAGTTTGTAAGTATATAAAATAATGTACACATTTTATCATCAATATAATTCACTGTTAAATATTACTTCTTCAAATTACCAGGCAGTAAGTATATAAATAATGTACACATTTTATCGTCGATATAATTCTCTGTTAAAAATTACTTCTTCAAATTACCAGTTTGTAAGTATATAAAATAATGTACACATTTTATCGTCAATATAATTCTCTGTTAAATATTACTTCTTCAAATTACCAGTGGGTAAGTATTTAATTTATTTATAAAATAATGTGCACATTTTATCAACAATAGAATTTTCTGTTAAATATTACTTCTTCAAATTACCAGAACGTAAGTATAAGTTTATTCGCAAAATAATGTACACATTTTATCGGCAATATAATTTTCTGTTAAATATTACTTCCAATCACCAGTTTGTAAGTATATATAAAAATAATGCACACATTTTATCGTCAATATAATTCTCTGTTAAATATTACTTCAAATTACCAGTGTGTAAGTATATAAGTTAATTCATAAAATAATGTACACGTCTTATCGGCAATATAATTTTCTGTTAAATATTACTTCCAATTACTAGTTTGTAAGTATATAGTTTATCAATAAAATAATGTACACATTTTATCGTCAATGTAATTCTCTGTTAAACATTATTTCTTCAAATTACCAGACTGTAAGTATATAGTTTATTCATAAATAATGTACACGTTTTATCATACGTATAATGTATTGACACTGTGCAATATATGTTATAATTCTCTGTTAAACATTACTTCTTTAAATTACCAGGGCGTAAGTATATATAGTTTATTCGTAAAATAATGTACACATTTTATCGTCAATATAATCCTCTGTTAAATATTATTTCTTCAAATTACCAGGACGTAAGTATATAGTTTATTTATAAAATAATGTACACATTTATCGTTAATATAATTCTCTATTAAATATTATTTCTTCAAATCACCAGTTTGTAAGTATATAGTTTATTCGTAAAATAATGTACGCATTTTATCTTCAATATAATCCTCTGTTAAATATTACTTCTTCAAATTACCAGGGCGTAAGTATATATAGTTTATTCGTAAAATAATGTACACATTTTATCGTCAATATAATTCTCTATTAAATATTACTTCTTCAAATTACCAGTTTGTAAGTATATAAAATAATGTACACATTTTATCATCAATATAATTCTCTGTTAAATATTACTTCAAATTACCAGTTTGTAAGTATATAAAATAATGTACACATTTTATCGTCAATATGATTCTCTGTTAAATATTACTTCTTCAAATTACCAGGACGTAAGTATATAGTTTATTTATAAAATAATGTACACATTTATCGTTAATATAATTCTCCGTTAAATATTACTTCTTCAAATTACCAGGGGGTAAGTATATAGTTTATTCATAAGATAATGAACACTTGTTTTAGCGTCAATATAATTCTCTGTTAAATATTACTTCTTCAAATTACCAGAGCGTAAGCATATAGTTTATTCGTAAAATAATGTACACGTTTTATCGTCAATATAATTCTCTGTTAAATATTACTTCTTCAAATTACCAGAGAGTAAGTATAAAATAATGTACATGTTTTATCGTCAATATAATTCTCCATTAAATATTTCTTCTTCAAATTACCAGAGAGTAAGTATAAAATAATGTACACGTTTTATCGTCAATATAATTCTCCATTAAATATTTCTTCTTCAAATTACCAGAGAGTAAGTATTTAGCTTAATTCGTAAAAGAATGTACACATTTTATCGTCAATATAATTTTCTGTTAAACATTACTTCAAATTACTAGACAGTAAGCATATATATTATCTATACACATTTTATCGTCAATATAGTTTTATGTTAAATATTACTTCTTCAAATTACCAGGGCGTAAGTATATAGCTTTTTCGTAAATAATGTACACATTTTATCGTCAATATAATTCTCTGTTAAATATTACTTCAAATTACAGTTTGTAAGTGTATAGCTTCTTCATAAAATAATGGACACGTATACATTTCATAATTAATAGAGTTCTCTATTAAATATTGCTTTCTGTTCTTCATTTTAAACTACCAGTGAGTAAGTATATGATTTTTATATAATTAATTATTCATAACATATACATTTTGTTGTTAATATAATCACATATAAATGTTATTTTCCTTGTGTTAAAAAATAAGACAGTAAGTATAGAAAGTATTTATAAAAATTCGCCAATTTAACATTAATGAAATTCAATTAAATATTATTTATCTGCTCTTGTATTGGTTGAACTACTAGAGAGTAAGAATAGAGTTTAATTATTAAATTTTATTACAGTCAACTCCCTAAGTGTAATTTGGTGGACCAGAATTTTAACGAAAAGCATTTAAAAAACAATTAAGAAAAAATGCATTTATAGAAATTATACATATACTTAGGCAAGGATTTAAAGGGAAGTTGCACTTGGAGAGCTGACTGTATTATAGAAATTCATCATTAATTATTAATTTATATATACGTTAAATTACTAGAGAGTAAGTGTAGAAAACATTATTTATAAAAATGCTTATTGAAATTTTCATTATATATAATTTTCTGTTTATTTATATGCATAAAAATTAACAGTTTGTAAGTATACTAATTATTTATGGAAATATTATTTACCATTTGAATTCTAATAAAATATAAAAATTCTTAAACATCGATATATAACCAGCGAGTAAGTACAAATTTTGTTTAAATACAATCATGTTTTTATATTAAATAACACTGCTTTAGCAATACTTTATTATTCTGTTAAATTTAGTGAGTATGTATCATTTCTATTATTAAATTGAAAATTATTGTGAATATATTAATAGGAAGTATATTATTAAATAATTGTTATTCTTTGTTCTAATTATAAGGGAGTAAGTAATATTTATTTTTATTCAAAATTGGCTATAACACTGTCTAAATGTCATGTAGGTTGAATGTTACTACAAATTGGTTAATCCATAAGCATTTAGAATATGCGTTTATAGATAAAAGTTATCTATAATCTTAGCATGTATTTAGATACAGCACACATAATGCGTGGAGGTTTGCTTGTGGATGTAACACATAATAATGGTTCATTTGTGATACTGCATAATATATAAGGACAAAAGAAAATACTATAGTTCATTCTATTCTTGATGAGAATAATAGAGATTCGGAATTTATTTAATTGATCACTTGGTTACGAGATATATAACTGCATGCTAAAAAAAGTTTTAAGAAAAAGCTGTAATATATGTCGGATATTCAGTGATCCGAATTGAAGGTATAAAATATTTTGATCAATAGATCACTATATATGCAGGAGTATTATTGATTGTCACAATACCTTTTAAAATATATTTACATTTATAATAAGTATTTTGTTATCAGATTGAGGCCTTTTGTGTTATTTAATTAGCTTCAAGACAAAACGAATAGCATAAAATACATGATGTGGTTAATAATATTACTAGAGCTTTAATCATGTGACATTTAAGCGGTGTGGCCATGTTAAATTTGATCTCATTTTCATTTTATAAATAAAAATATATCACTAAATACCATGTACTTGAAATAATCAAAAAGAGGGTAAGCAAAAATTCGCTTCTGATCATTTTTTTAATAAAAATTCATCATTAAAAAAAATTTCTATTATTCCTAAAGGGCGTAAGTATATTTTATTTTACTTATTATTAAATAGAAGATTTTTAAATAGTAATTGATGGTATATTTATCATTGACTAATTATTTTAATTTAAAAGAGAGTAGGTATAAAGTTTACTCATATATTTTAAATAAAGCATTTATAATTAAATTATTTAATTTTAAAGAGAGTAAGTACAATGTCTATTCATGCTAATTTTAAATTCAATATATTAGGTAGAAATAATAAAACTTTAATTATTTCTATTTAGAGCCAAGTGGTATCAAAGATTTATTGAAGAATACGAATTGAAAGAAATACCTTATGATGATTTGAAGAGAAAGAAAAGATTAGGATGTGGAGGTTTTGGAATGGTATATTTAGCAAAATCTAGCTCATTAGGTCATGTAGCTATTAAAGAAGTAAGATCAGAAACAGATGAAAAGGCTCAAAAACTTTTTATTAATGAGGTATATTATCAAGTATTTATGTGAAATTTGTTATTTATTAGTTTTCTAAGATATAATGTTTTTTTTTTTTTAGCTAAAACAACTTAGTAGATCTAACCATGTGCGAATTATTAAATTTTATGGAATTAGTTTTAGTAAGTTACTTATAATTTATACATTAATGGCAAATTGACTAAATTTTGGTTGAAAAATTTTATTATAAGATGAAATAGAAAAAATGCCGTATCTTGTAATGGAATATGCAGACGATGGTACTTTACGAGAATATTTAAAAAAAAACAAATTAGAATGGCTCGAAAAAATTCAATTGGCGAGACAAATAGCTGAAGGAATGCTTTATCTTCATGATATGGATATCACACATCGTGATTTGGTAAAGCACATAATTTTGTTATAGGCATTGATAATTTTCAAGTCTTTTATAATTAACATTGTCTTTAATTTAGCACACTGCAAACATTCTTATTCATAAAAAAGAAGTTAAAATTTCAGATTTTGGATTTTCAAAAAATCTTAATACTGCAACAGTAACCAACAGTAAAATTTATGGATTAATTCCTTTTATTGATTCTTGTAAACTTAGTGATTTAAAGTATCGGTATAATAAAAAGTCTGATGTATATAGTATAGGCGTGTTAATGTGGGAGATTTCTAGCAATGGAAATATTCCATTTGGCAATCAAGGTTATGATGCATCTCTTCCATTGAAAATTATTCAAGGTTTACGTGAAAAACCAATTCTTGGAACACCTATCCAATACATAGATCTCTATTCAAAATGTTGGGATCATGAACCAAATAAGCGTCCTTCAATGTCAGAAATTTTTGAACAATTAAATTTCTTGAAATTAGACCCCAGATATGATGGTACTAATTAGGTTTGTTAAAATGATTTAACTTTAAATAATGGTACAGTTTATATTTGATTTGATTGTTAATATATTATAGTATTAGTATATAAGAATTATACTTTATTATACTGTGCAATATTGCTAAATTTATAATATATAAAATATAGAAAAATTCTTTTATTTGCATATAAATTTAAGTATAATTTATAGATTCATATTGTACAACAGTTAAAAGCAAAAAATATAATTATGTTAAAATTTAAAATTTGGTGAAGCATATACTAAAATTTTGTAAGGAATTTTTCTTGTTAGAACCCAAAAATAGGTTTAATAGTTTTTAAGTATTTGTGTTTTATACAGCTAAATAAAGAAGTTTTGAATAAATAATTTAAATTGAGAACTATTTTTATTGATTAATGTCTAAATTAAAAAAATTCTTAATGCTATTGACACGGGCGAAACGGCGAGTCAGTCGCTTGACAGATGGATACGTCGTGTAACCTACGAACGGCTTAGTCGAAAGAGGCAGTTAGATTTGGCGAGTGGTGTGTTAATGATCGTAGGTTTTATAATATATTGTCACGAAAGTAGTAAAGTATTTGGGTCAAAATGTATTGCAAGCACTAACTACTGCTTCTCGTAGGGCTCGAAGCCTTTATTATATAATGTTCTATTACATATGCGCTCCTACAGCTATTAAACATATTAAACGTATTATTTAACATATACACATTTAATGTCCTATATTAATTAAAGCCGCTACATATTATATATCCCTTTACTTATAGTTCTTTCTTAAAATCCTTATCACCGCTATTACCCTTATAATTGCTAAAAGACGATAATCCCAGGAAGCCCATATTAGGTAGGTGATCGTCATAGCCGTTAATCATTACTGTGTCACCATCGATCACCTCCTTCCACGTGCTTCCAGGATCACGTCACCACAGCAATAGTTGGCAGTAGAATTACTGAATTATGGCATTACAGCATTCTACCACAGTACCTGATTGCCGTAAATATTATACGCCGTAATGCCGTAACCATAATGCCGTAATGCCGTAACCGTAATGCCGTAATGCTGTAACCGTAATGCCGTAACTGTAATGCCGTAACCGTAATGCCGTAACTGTAATGTGATAACCCGCATTGATTAAAATTAGTATACTTATGCAAACCAATCAAACTTAAGATTCGTGACATACCCATTTAAAACACCATATAAGCCATACACTTCGTGATTTCATCACTCCGTTCCTGGTAATGCTTTTAATAAAACTCAAATATAATTGAATCAGATTTGTCTGATATCAAATAAAGGCTTGAGTTTTTTGTTTTCATTTGGCAATGCATAAATATAAATATTATCTTTTGCTATTGATTTACAACACAGCCCTAATATCTACAGTGAAAGGCGAAAAGGAAACTCTGGGCATTACTTCATAAATGTCTTTTGAAGAGAATTCGTATTTCTTTTTAGATAATCCTAGATCTGTAATATAAGATTTTGTATTTTTATTATTATGTTGGTCTTGTAAAATATCATCACTATGAAAATCTGCATGAACGTAGTTGCAAAATCATGAATACAATATCATTACAATGCACACATTTACCATATTTAGAGTTGCTTCATAATCACAGTATATAATATATTTATTTTATTATTCATCTACCATGCTGTTTTAAACTTTTATGTCAAATGTAAATTGATTTTTTACTTACCGACTAAATTAATGCGAATGAAATAATAGTAATGGTAAATAAGTATTTATGCTCTTTATTTGTGAACTTGCTTTGCTGTTTTCAATTCCAATGATTAGTAAATGTTATACTCACTTACTGAATGAATGATTAATGCGAATGAAATGATTTGAAGGTATTACTTAATAGTAATGGTAAATAAGTATTTATGTTCTTGATTTGTGAACTTGCTTTTCTGTTCAAAATTTCGATAGTTAATAAATGTTCTTTAACTCACATACTGAATGAATGATTAATTTGAATGAAATGATTTGAAGGGTATTACACAATACACTGGCGATCATAAATAATGCAACAAAAAAAAAATTTTATTTAGATCGTAATATTTCATGCAATTCTAGACTTTTTTTTTTATTTTTTTTTATTCTATTCACAAGTAGTATCTTTTTTAAAAATTAAAATTTTATTAGTTGTTATTATTGCCAATGTGAAGATAATTGTGCATTTATTACAAATCATGTGTTGCATTATTTTTGATCATTTTTGACAAAGATTAGATGATTTCTACTGTGTTACCTAAGTACATATCAAAATGTAAATTCATTGTTATTCTTGCATCTTTGTATGATGATAAAGCACTTAATAAAGTTTTAGCAAAAAAAAAATATAGATATGTTACAATTCAAAGAAGCTTAAATTTCTTTTTCATTGTAAAAGTGATATTCATAAAAGTAATAGATTGGACATATAATATTGGTTTCTTCATTGGCTTTTTTGTCTATAAAAATTACTGTACATCACACTCATAAAGAATTAATAAAGATTAGTTGTCTACTTATCAAGTGTGAGCAAAACCAGACAAGAACATTAAATTGAATAATCTTGTCTTGTTGCTTAATTGTCATTTAAATATGGTTTTACTTAAAAAAAAAAATAATATTTATGTTTCAATAGTTAATTATTTTTTTTATACTTTAAAACTACAAATTGATATTAGGAATTAAGTAAAAAAAAATCCTACTGATATAAATACAAGTAAAAATGTTGGCTTGAACTTACAAAAAAGTATAAAAATTAAGCTGTCAAAGTTAATCTTAGATAACTTAATTTAATGATTCAAAATTTTAAAGTTTTTTGATCAAAAAATTGTAAAAAGTTATTAAATAGTTTTTAAATTAGACTTAAATAGGATTTTAGCAAAATTTGTAACAATATATAGTGTTACATTATATTTTATTATATGAAGATCTTAGTAAGCTTAATTACATAATGAATAATAAGTTTCACTAATGAATTTTTTTGTAAAAATATACAAATACTATCAGAAATTATGAATATATTATTTACAAAGTTATTTTTTTTAACAAAAACAAACTCTCCCTTACAGATCTCAAAATATAAAAAATCAACAGAGACAAAAAACAAAAAATAAAAATAGTGAATACAATAGAAGAAAACCTAAATAAAAAGGCCCACTATGGGCAAAAAAACTACTCATACAAGATACAAAACAAAGATACAACCACTTTAACTATACAAAGCAAAAGTAAAAAAAGAAAATTCAATTTATTCAATTCATTTAATTGCGAAGGCAAACTAAGGCAATCAAGACCAGCAGTACTACAAGTTTACAAAACAGAAATACCAGGCATAATGAGCAACAATCACAAGTATCCTACTAGATAGCAACAACATCATACCAACCTAGATGCCACTTACAAAGATGTGTACAACAAAAAAAGACATACTGGTCTTTTCCAAATTCCAGCTAGTAACAAAAATAGGCAATCTAGCATACCTTCTACAAAACAAGTAATGACATCATCTCAAGCAAACTAGCACAATAACAATACAACTCAAACTAGCAATAGTAACATCACAACAAACATTATGAGAAAAAAAAACAACACAGTAATCATTTTGCATAACACACAAGCTTACATAGCTATAAAAGGAAATCAAACAACCATGCTACAGAATCAAACTCCAGATATAAAAATAAGTAACCAACACAACATAGAACCTATACCAATAGAAATGCAAAACCCTTACAAAGCAATAGCAAATAGCAACCAAGCCACAGAACTAGAATAAAGCAACCAAATAGATACAGAAATAGAATAAACAAACAACCCTATGATGCTAAACACAAACAACAAACCTACATATAGTCAAATGGTCCAAAAAGATGCAAGCATAAGTGATATGACAGAAATGAAAACTGACTATACAAAAACATGGATCCAACAAGTAAATAACAATCTGAAGGCCAAAATCAATACACTTTTTAATGACAAAAAATGGTTATATGATAATGTAATTGAAGCATATAATCTAAAGAAAAGATACAAGCATTTATTAAACACAAACTACAAACAAAGCCAACTAAAAGACTAATCTCTCCTGCATCTGAAACAAAATTTAGACATACCGATTCAACCTTCTTCATAACCTTTACCCATGACAAAAGATTATGCCACTACACCAAACAGAATACAACCAAATGTTTACAGAGGCACTAAAAAATTACAAAACTACTAATGCAATTACCATTACCAACAGAGACATCTGAAATCTAATTCACATGAAACTGAGACAGAAGTTAATTATAAACTCCACAACAAACCTAAACTTTAAGACTCAACCTCCCAAACATATAGCAAAGGTCCTAAAATACTACAAGGGTTTTACAAAAAATGAAAATGTAATAGATACAAAAGCAATTCAAGAAGCATTAAATAATGCCCTAATATTGTATTTAGCAAAACTACCAGAATCACCAGAACTTATTTCAAAAGAAATATGAAATATCTTCCCTTTTACTTTACCAATTAAACATAGATCACAGACAAGAGCAATTGTCACAGTTTTACATAAAATCTATTCTTTTGAACAACTTCCAGAAATATACTTTGCCAAACTTCCACCCCTACCAACAAACTCAGAAGACTTAGATGAAGCAATAAAAAACCTATTTCCAATTACACAAAGAAGGGAACTTACAAGACTAGCCTATTATAAAAAATGACTTCAAGACCATTATAATTGTAAAGAAATACCCAGTTACTACTTTAGATTACTATCACCTATCCCTATGAAACCCTCTTACCATGGGCATATCAAAATATAGAAGACTCACAATTTAGACAACACTTTCCAATCAATAGAGCAGACCTTCTAATAGATATGAAAGATATAACAGCATAGCTAAGAGAGCATTACACCTTTTAAGTCATACCAAATGATTACTTTAAAGCAAAACCAAACCTTCCAAAAGACCCCTTTAAAATAAAAACTACAAAATACTTACTCTTTTCCAATTA